AAGGACCTGGTACATGGTCTGCCTATGTCACATTTCAAAACTCAAAAAGTCTGTGATGCTTGTGCCAGAGGAAAACATGTAAAGTCCTCCTTTAAGTCAAAAAGAGATGTGAGCACCTCAAAACCTCTTGAGCTCCTGCATATGGATCTGTGTGGACCTATTAGGGTGCAAAGCAGAGGAGGAAAAAGATACATTTTCGTGATCGTGGATGACTGTTCCAGATTCACATAGACTTTGTTTCCCAGAACAAAAGATGAAACTGTTGAAGTATTTGTGGCCTTTGTAAAGAAAATTCAGGTAAAGATGGAGTCGAGAGTTGCATGCATTAGATCAGATCATGGGACAGAATTTGACAATGTCAAATTTGATGAATTCTGCAATGAAAACGACATCACTCATAACTTCTCAGCTCCTAGAACTCCATAGCAAAATGGAGTAGTAGAAAGAAAGAACAGAACTATAGAAGAAATGGCAAGAACAATGTTGATTGACAGCGGACTTGCAAAGAACTTTTGGGCTGAAGCTGTCAATACTGCCTGCTACTTAGTGAACAGGTGCATGATCAGATCAATTCTACACAAGACCCCGTATGAACTGCTGAATGGAAGAAAACCCAAGCTGACCTACCTAAGAACATTTGGATGCAAATGCTATGTTCTCAACAATGGAAAGGATCAACTTGGTAAGTTCGATGCTAAAAGTGACGAAGGGATATTTCTTGGATACTCTTCTCAAAGCAAGACTTACAAAATTTATAACAAGCGGACTCAATGTGTTGAGGAAAGTGTCCATGTTATCTTTGATGAATCTCATCCATCATTTGAGAAGAGTGCTGAGGAAGATCAAGACGGAGAACCCTTACTTGTCCCTGGTGAATTCATCAACATGACTAATGGGAAGACAGACTTGATGAGTCAAGTGAAGGAGGCAAAGGAAGATAATGCGGCTTCATCATCAAAAGAACCAAACACTTCAATTACAATCACTGAAGCTGAAGAAAGAGTGGTTGATGCAGTTCAGGGAACTCCACTGGCATCTGAGAGAAGGATGGAGGAGAATCAGCCAAACATACAGTCTTCCTCTCAGAATGAACCCCAGACATCGAACTGGAGACATCAAAGTTCTCACCCTATAGATAACATAATCACTCCTCTATATTCTGGAGTTCAAACCAGGTCAAGAGCTAGAAATTCACTTGCTTTCTCAGCCTTTCTCTCCTAGATAGAACCCAAGAACATCAAGGAAGCCTTAAAAGATGCAGATTGGATTACAACCATGCAAGATGAACTACATCATTTTGATAGAAATAATGTTTGGCACCTGGTACCCAGACCCCCAGATAGAACCATTATAGGAACCAGGTGGGTATTCAGAAACAAGCTCGATGAGCATGGAATTACCACAGGGAATAAGGCCAGATTAGTGGTTCAAGGTTACAATCAAGAGGAAGGGATTGACTATGATGAAAATTTTGCTCCAGTGGCTCGCATGGAAGCCATCAGAATTCTGATCGCCTTTGCTTTTCATATGGAATTCACTTTGGTCCAAATGGATGTCAAAAGTGCATTCTTGAATGGACTACTTAAGGAAGAAGTCTATGTGAAACAAACCCCTGGGTTTGAATGTCATGAGCACCCTGAATATGTGTTCAAATTGGACAAAGCCTTGTATGGGCTAAAGCAGGCTCCTCGAGCGTGGTATGAAAGGTTGTCAAAATTTCTCTTAGAAAATGGATTTAAGAGAGGGAAAATTGACAACACTCTTTTCTTAAAGAAACGAGGAAGGAACCTGCTCATTGTTCAGGTCTATGTTGTTGATATCATTTTTGGAGCAATGGCTGACTCTCTGTGTGAAGAATTCGCAAAACTTATGGGAAGTGAATTTGAAATGAGCATGATGGGTGAATTAAACTTCTTCCTGGGTCTTCAAGTGAAACAATCCTCAAAGGGCACTTCTATTTGTCTGCAAAAGTACATCAGGGAACTCTTGAAGAGGTTCGACATGGAAGCATCAAAAGTAATAGACACTCCCATTGCAACTGCCACCCGACTAGACATGGATGAGTCTGGATCTCCTGTGAATCAAACAATGTATAGAGGCATCATTGGGTCGCTTCTTTATCTCACTGCTAGTCGTCCTGATATTATTTTCAACGTGGGATTGAGTGCGAGGTTTCAATAAAATCTCAAGGAATCTCACTTGAAGGCTGCCAAAAGAATACTGAGATATCTCAAAGGCACACGGGACCTGGTGCTATACTATCCATCAGGTGACAATTTTAATCTAAGTGGTATGCTGATGCAGACTATGCAGGTTATCTTGTGGATAGAAAAAGCACTTCTGGGATGGCTCACTTCTTGGGATCATGTCTTATCTCTTGGGGTACAAGGAAGCAAAATTCAGCGGCTCTCTCAATAGCTGAGGCTGAATATGTAGCTGCAACATCCTGCTGTGCTCAGCTTCTGTGGATCAAGCAGCAACTGGATGATTTTGGAGTTCTCACTAAGAGTGTGCCTCTTCTATGTGACAACACCAGCGCACTTAACATGGCAAAGAATCCAGTTGAACATAAAAAAACCAAACATATTGATGTGAGGCATCATTTTCTAAGAGACAATGTGGAGAAAGGATTGATATGCATGAAGTTCTGCAACACAGAAGATCAAATTGCAGACATTTTCACCAAGGCACTAAGTAGGGAATAGTTTGAAAGAAACATAGTAAAGCTGGGACTGTTGAGGCCAAACTAAGGACCAGATTCCTTTTTGGTTTGGCTTGTGTTATTAAGAAATAATGGGTTCAAAGTGTTTTCTGGCCGTGTCTAACTCACTTTAATACCGTTGCAGGTAAACACGCATGATGAGGATAGAAGCAGTAGATGCAGTACATGACTGATAAAAGAGATTGATTTTTTTTTAAAAAAAGGCCTGAAGACGGAAATGCATCTCAAGAACCAGGTTCTTGCAAAAAAGGTTAGTAGTTCTGTGCATCCCTTAATTCACGTCTTAAAAGGTACAAAATACAATTGCCATCTCATCAACTTTTCAGATCCGGCTGTCACGTCTCTTCAATTCAAACGTTCCATCTCCCTCTGAAACATCACAATTTTCCACGCCCAACCGTCGTTTTAGAACCAGTGCCTATTCTTCTCCCCTCATAATTATCCTCTCTGTTTAAAAACCCCTCTCTTCTTCACTCCTTCGCCATAAGCCCTCTTCTAACTTCACTCAAATAGGGAAAGGATCATCACACCACCTCTCTCAATGGCCGAGAAAAATTCAGATCCTTCTGCATCACCTGTAACCCCCTCCAAACCGTCTATGGGACTTCTCGGCGTCTCTGAGTCAGTGTCACCCTCTATCAACCCTATCGCTACAGTCCTCCCTTCCCTAGTTTCCCAACCTCCTTCCAACTCGAAAACTACTGTTCCGCTCTCCCCTTCGCCTGTTGCCCATACCAGTCAAACCTCAAATGGCGACCAAGGTCTAATTACTGAGAACACAAGCGACTCCGCCATTGTTACAGTCAACCCCATGGTCGTGGAAGCACTACAACAAAAAAGGTTTTAGCGGCAATGAAGAAAGGCTTTAGCGGCAATAGAAATAGCCGCTAAAGGATTTACCGGTAATTGATATTTGGCCGCTGTACATGGCGTCGGCAAAGCCTTTAGCAGCCATTTCAAGATTTGCCGGTAAAGGTATCATTTATTGCCGGTAAAACGTAGATGTTGCAACGGCGATTGCTTAGCGGCAATTATTATGGCTGGTAAATCCTTCCGAAAAACAGCTTAGCTAGCCCTTTTGGCATCCATTGTTATTGCCAGTAAATCAAATTTAATTGTCGCTAAAAATCACAGGATTTAATGACAATAGCTTAGTGACAATTATAATAGCGGCTAAATCCATCTAAAAAATGACTCAATTTGCATTGTTGTCCTCTGTTTTTATTGCCGGTAAAGTTAATCAAATTGCCGCAGAAAGTCATAAGCTTTAACTGCTATATTTTAGCTTCAATAAGAATAGCGGTTAAATCCATACCTAGTTTGCGCTTTAAACATCCAGTTTCATTGCCGATAATTCTAGTTAAATTTGCTATAAACAATAACCATTTAATGCAATATCAAAGGTACAAATTAGCTCCAATAAGCTATCATTGAATTGGTAAATGCTAATAAACACACTACTTTTAATTCATAAAAACATAATATATCTCACTAAATATAGATTAACAAAAGCAAGTCCTGATCCATAATCTAATGTAGTAGCGACAAAAAAGGAGATTAAAATTGTATCGTTTGAACGAAATAGTTACTGTCCACATAATAACAAAATAGTAGATGCATAACCCTTCATTATATTGCAATCTTCCCATGCTATTTTTTAACATCATACTGTATGACCTGAAATAATAATATAAATGAATGTTAAAAGATGAAATTGTATGTAAAAAGTTTGTAAGCATTGAAAAATACTCCAAAACTTGACCTACAAAAGTTCTATTCCACTATTTTACACAAAGGAAAGAGATCGTCACATAGTTCTCCAAAATAATATCAATTAAAAGCTACAACAACATCCAAGATTATAGCTCAACCTTTTACTCATATATCGTGATTGTCACGACCCATTTTCCATAATAGGTCATGATGGCGCCTAACACCGTTGTCAGGCCAGCCGATGCGGAATGTGATTAAGTTCTCATTTTACTTTAGCCAAAGACAGTTATACTAGATTTTCGAATTTAAAGATAAGACCAGTAAAGATCATAAAGTGCTAAAATAGCGATACAACCCCAAAAATAAATGTCTACTACTGTGTGTGCCAGAACCTGGTGTCACAAGCTACGGGCGACTAGTAGAATATACACAAAAGAATAATACACTATCCTACTGTCTGAATCAGAATAGACAGAAACAAAAAGTACAAGAAAGGACTTCTTCGGCTGCGGATCGGCATGAAAGAGAAGCAGCTCACCGTAGAAGTCCCCAAGCGTGCTCACTGATGCGCACCAGAATGATGTCCAGATCCACCTGCCTCAAATCCTGTACATTTAAGTACAGAAGCGTAGTATGAGTACATAAACCACATGTACTCAGTAAGTATCCCGTCTAATCTCGAAGAAGTAGAGACGAGAGGTCGACTTGATACTTACTAAGGTCAAGATAATATAATAATAAAGTGAGATATACAGCATGAAGAATTTCTAATAACACAAGTTTAAGAGAAGAGTCATATTCATGTTCTTGACATAATTAAACTACCAGTTTTCCCTTTTTCATATTAAACAAGTGATCATGTCATATCTAAATGTAAGCATATAAATCATGCACAATCATGCCGAGGTCGACGGCCCGCTCCAACAGAAAATAAATTGTGCACTGCCGAGGGTCGAGCGGCACGAACCATAGATGCATCTATTCTCACCAAGGCGATCGGCCCGGTCCATAATCATCAAGAAAATATCAGGAAAGCACATAAGGCGCAATTACTTACAAGGGAATTCCTACCAAGCCTCAACAAACTCATAAGTTCGCTTTTCATTTCCTCAAGTCTCTAGCAAATCATAAATGATCATATTGGCAATATAAAACAAGAAATATTCCCCAATTAGACATGACGTGGGTCCTAAACTACCCGAACAATTATCATTATAGTCGCTACGCATGGACTCTCCTCACCTAGTACGTACGTAGCCCCCGCATTTAACAACAATTACTCATTTGTAATCCTATGGGGACAATTCCCTCTTACAAGGTTAGAAAGGAGACTCACCTCGCTCCAAAGTGCACTTCCAATGTCCAAGAACGAGCCCAAGTCCTTAATTCGAAGCCGAACAATCCAAAACTAATCAAACGAAGTAAGAACTAGTAAATAAAGGCTTACAAGGTCGAACTCTAACTATTTAGGAAATTTTCTAACCATTAACACAAGTTTCCTAAATTCCGACCCCGGGCCCACGTGCCCGGATTCCGAGATTTTTCGAAGGAAGTTGTTCTCTATCACCTAAGGATCACAAATATATGATTTCTAGTTCATTACATGGCAAATTTTTATGATAAATTCTTAGTTTTATTAAAACCCTAGGTCTAGCTCAATTCTTGAGTTTTACTAAATTTTTGGTGTTTAATCTACCTAATATACATGTATTTAAGCTAAGGATGAAGGGAAATTACTTACCTTACCATGTTACGCGGAAACCCTCTCTTGGAAGAACCCAAATCGCCTAAGTGTAGAGTGAAAAATGAGAGAAATGAATTTGAGTTCGTATTAAATGAACCCTTCTGCCCCCAGTTATTTTCGCATATGCGGAAGTATTTCCGCTTCTGCGGAATTTGGCCGCTTCTGCGGCTTTTGGGATTTGGGGCTCGACCACTTCTGCGGTCTGGGGGCAGCATAGGCGGAACCGCTTCTGCGGTCCCTGGGCCGCTTTTGCGGTTTCCCCTGGCCTGCCCTTCTCCGCTTCTGCGATCTAATGACCGCATCTGCGGTCCCGCTTCTGCGGTCCAAGAACCGCAGATGCGGTTATGACAGAAGCAGCAAGCTTCAGTCATTTTCCAAATTCTAACTTCACTCGAGCCTCGCTCGTTTGACGCTCGGGGCTCCCGTGCCCCGCTCGAACATACCAACAAGTCTGAAATCACGAGGCGGACCTACTCGAACCCTCGAAACACTCAAAAGAACGCTAAATCGAGGAATCAACCCCAAAACCAAATGAATCAAATCATTGAACTTCAAGTTCTTAATTCTCCTCCAACGGGTCAAAACGCCCTTAAACTACTCGGATTGACACCAAATTTTACGGGTAAGTCTTAACTGATATTTTGAACTTGTACGAAGTTTCGGAATCGAAATCCGAACCCGATACCTAGGAAAACAATGATTTCTTAGTTTATTTAAACCTTTAAAACTTTAACTTAACAATTTCACATAAAAATTCATTACTCGGGCTAGGGACCTCGGAATTCGATTCCGGGCATACGCCCAAGTCCCATATTTTCCCACGGACCCTCAAAAATCGTCAAATCATGATTCCGGGTCCGTTTTCCCAAAATGTTGACCGAAGTCAAACTTGGCCTTTTTAAAGAAACTTAAAGAAGCACTAGACTTATTCTTGCTCAAAACTCTTCTAAATTCCGAACCACCCGTCCCCGCAAGTCATAAATTAGCTAAAGCAAGTGCGGGAAGTCTTATTTAAGGGAACGAGGTTCAAAAATGCAAAACAACCGGTCGGGTCGTTACAGTGATCAACTAAGGCACCAAAGAAATGAAAACTTAACAAAGTTCACTAATCTTCATAAGTTCAAGTTAGTCTAGAGATGGATCAGGTAAGCACAAGTTTAATTATGTAAAATAACTTATCACTAGAAGCAATTAGAAAATGCTAGCACAACAATAGCAAATAAGCACCTCATAAAGAAAAAAGACTACTAATTTTAAAACAGTTATAGCCTACTTATGATAATAATATACAACTTCCAGTAGTGCTATGTTAACTTATTATAATACAAGAGTAGTACCAGGAGAAGATGAAGCATTTTCAGCAGTAGTAGACATCCGACGTGCTTGTGGTACTGGTTGATGACCACTGTTAGCATCAGGGACCTGAGAAATATTATTAAGTTAGATAACATTAATTTATAAGATTAAAATTTCAAGAAAAAAAATTCTCAAACTATTAAAATCGAGTTACCTGTTCAGTTCGCATTCCATTGACATTATGAGGCATAAATCATTAGGAGCAATTTTGTACATGACTTGTCTCATCCATGATACCTCTTGTTTCATCAAACACATTTCTTCATTTTGTTTCACATTTAACTCCTTTAACTCTGTTATCTCTTTTTCTAAATTTTTTATAACCTCATTAGATGAATTCTTTGCAACAATACTTTCTAAGGAAGACTTACTGCCCCACAATAGAGAAGGTGTTGGACCAAGTCCTAAACCACGAATATACCCACTTTTATCGTTTTCCAATACTTGGGAATACACATCCCCTTCCCACGCAACACCACGAGAAGACTGGTCATTTGATCTCTCATTGTTACTCAATCATTCATTCAGCATATCCTGATCATATGTCGTTGGAACCAAACATAAGTTAATAATATAAAAATTAAATATATATAGATCCATATGCAATTTACAAGAACCCACAGGTAAATTCTCTGATGGCCGTCATATTATAGACTTTATTGGTAATGCTCTTAACCATCCATTTCTCAAACTTTACTTGTAAAAAGAAGCTAGATTTAGCCATGGTATAAACTTTACAGTAGTGAAATCTACAACATTAAGAAACTCTTTTATGAAGCTTGAAATATTAGCATGCCTACGTTTATTATAATAACAACAACAAACTCAATGTAATCTTACAAGTGGGGTCTGGAGAGAATAATGTGTATGTAGACCTTACCCCTACATTGTGATGGTAGAGAGGCTACTTCCGACAGACCCTCGGCTTAAAGAACAATGAAAATAAAATAACAAATGGTAACAATGTGTTCAACCTCTAAGTTTCTTTAACACTAAGTTCATCTTACATTTGAGAGACAGCTTTCTGCTGATGGTCAAGAAAGTAACAAGATTCTAGAATACAAACATTTATCTTCGTAAAAATATTTCACTCTATATTTATCTTCGTAACAGCATGTGGAGAAGCCATTGTTAGAGGGATGCCTCTAATCAGAAAATAGCTGGCAGCACTTTCATTTTTTTGATAAAGTAAAATAGTTGCTTGCACTTTATTTGGTATTAGAAAACCCAAATAAAGTTCTCATAATCCCAATTCCGGAAGACAAACAAAATTCAGAATATGCAAAAGAAGAAATCTTACAACTGTCCTCGCAGACTCTGGATCCAATGGTCTACCATCCTTACGTTGTTTATGAGTTAATATAAAAACTTGTGCTCGTGTAGGCTCTATCCCGTTTTCAGCCTTATACAATAAAACGATGTCAAATACGCGCAACAAAGAGAGTTTAGATTAGACTTCATAATATACACAAGAATACCTTCTCATCCATCAAGGCGGCAATACTTTTGGACCCTCATGTGTGAGGCATCTTTTGATTTCCTCTGTTATTTCTATTTGCTTGTGTACGCTTCTGTTATTACAACATAAAAGTAATATCTTATAATTTATACATAAAAAGAAAACAATCAGAACACTATAAAAACTAAGTGTGTGATTCTAAGAGTATAAAATTGATACCTTAGCTTTATCAGAAAACCAATAAGAGACTAGACCGATCCATTGATCCCGTGGTATACAACTTGGTTTATTTCTTAGCAAAGCATCTTTGGTCTTATATTTTACCGTATAGATATTTTTTAAGTCGCATTTGTAATCTTTCCATTTCTTTCCTATTGACTTTATGACATATGCTTCTCCACGAGATGGGATAGAGAACTTCTTCGGAGAAATAAAAGAAAAAGATTGAAAGATAATATCACATATAATAAAATAATATATTATTAGATTCACACATCATAAGGATAATAATAACTCCATACCTTCGCAAACTCCACAAGTTTCTTCTTTTCTTCTTTGGCAAAATTTCTCCAATCATCTATGTTTAGAGGAGTTAGTTCTGGAGTTCTAGCGATTATGCCTAGAAAGCTAGCGAGCTTTCGACCCTCTTTTCTGATGGGTTGGTTACGGTCATTGAATTGCACAGCAATTGTTTTTCCAGGAGGCAATTTCCAAATATCTTTAAATATTGTGGGCCCACGAACCTTTCTTTCCTCTGAACTACCTGATTGAAAAAGATTCAAAGTTCATCAAATCCATACAGTGAATCCAAATTAGCGCAACATCTTCTATTTTCTTTTAATCTCTACAAAATGTTGTCACCAGAAGGTCTCAAGGATAGCAGATTATACTACAAAATACAAATTTTAAGTGGTATATAGTTCTGTAATAAGAGCATAGGAGTGCAGGAGCATAGGAATGCAGGACACAACCAACAACAAAATATTTATAGAAGATCTCAGGGAACAATAGAAAGAAGAACATTGTACCATTAAGTAAATGAACTAACATGTCTAGTAGATAAAAAAAAGTGTTACCTGATTCATCATTTTGTTGAACCTCAGTGTCGGTAGAATTATTAAACTCATTAGATTGAATGTTATGTGTTTGAACTTGAGAGCAGTTCTGACCATTCATCAATTGTTCAATATAAGGTCGCGCATCTGTATCATCATGTTGTTCAACAATAATTCTATTTCCACCTCTAGTCCTCGTAGTTTCTTCTCCAAAATGAAGTAATTAACAAGCTGCAAGTAGTGTGAATGTCAAATTCCACTATTAGTTAATCAATATGACTAAACCACCAGTTTGCTAGTTTAATGTAACACATATTTTGAACTTATTGCTACCTGGAATTAAACTTAAGCCTCCAAAAGCATCCTCTATCATTCCTCTCATATCATCGCCCCTTAAAATAGATTGTCTACAATTATCTACTTGGGTACTAGTTGACCCATTCAGAGACTCTCCATGACAAAACCATGTATCATATGACTGTATAATACAATGGCACACAAGATGATCATATGCTGTTGCCCGATTTACTTCATAGTGTAGCGCGCATTCTGTGCATGGGCAAGGAATTGTGTTTTCATTATCTTTTTCACGAAATGCATAATTTAGAAAAGTTTCAACTCCATCTAAATATTCTTGAGTACCCCAACAAGACATCCAACTTCTATTTCTAGAATTATCCATCACAATTCAAGAGAATATTGTCTCTTCTGCAATCATAACAGTTATTCAGATAATTTCACAATAAATGTGAAAAGATAATTATTTAACTCAATATGTAAACAAACATTTGATTCAATGAAACAGAACTTGAAGACCAATCAGGATAGTTTTCTCTTTAAGCTAATAAGAAATAAGAATCTCAAGAACAACTTAACACTAACAAGAGAAAAATATTTGCCGGGTCAATTTAAATGAAGAAGTAAACAATATAGGCAACACAAAAATCTTCATATTATTATACAACTAGTGTTTCATAATTTTAATTAACCTCTAGTATACCTGGTTGTTGTAGCTAGTTGCGTGATTCATTAGGACTTAATGTAAGACCAAGAAATAGGAAAACAAAAGGAATACAATCTGAAAAAAGCTGATTCATTTACAGTATTTTGGTCTTTTCTATCTTGTATTTTAGTATTTTTGCTTAACAACTACATTTACATGTGCATGTTCATTTAGCAGAAATATCAACTTTCAAAGAAAATCTATGTAATGAGGAGTCAAATATTGGACATATCTTCTTCTACTTAATTTCCTCTGTGCTTGAATACTTGAGGTACAAAACTAATACCCATCTAATAAAGCTAAAATTATATGTCAGCAATCTTCTTAACAGTTAATTAAATAATCTCTAGAGCAAAATACTTACCTAACCAAACACTAAATAAATCGTCTTCTCAAAAGACAAAATTATGCTAACAAATTTCCTATATAAATCATGTTCTTGATGCATAACTCTATAGAAAAAAATTAAAGAAATATAAATAAGAAATTACCCCATCCCACTTCTCAAAAATAAAATTACATCAATATTATTTTTGAACCAGAGAAGAACGAATTTAAAATTAATGGATACTAAGTTGAGAATCTTTCAAACTGTAGGATTTAGACCCAACCAATTAATCTATGATAATGCTTCAATTTAAGTATAATTTTTCATTAATCCCTAGTCCCATCCAACCAATAACCTAAAGATAGAGATGGAAATATATAAAAAGGCAAACTTACTGGTGATTGTGATGGAGGCCAGCAATTTTGGTTGCAGTGGATTGAAGAATCGAGAGGGTACTTTCTCTGATAGAATGTTTCTTTCTTTGAGAGAAAGTTTTTCTCTTTTCTGCGGTCTTTAGGGTATATACGACAGTAAAATTTAGGCGCGAGAAGATTTAGAGGGAAAAGGAGAAATTAGAGGGAATATGAAAGGAAAAATCAATTATATTGGCGGCTTTTGTATTGAATAGACGCTAAAAGATACTAATTAGTAGCCAATATTCATTAGCCAGTAATATTTGGCTTCCTTGAACAAATTAACGGCAACTGTCTTATTGCCACTAAATAATTGCCACTAAAGATCTTTTTCGCAGTAGTGAAGCACCGGTTGTTGAAGAAAATATAGTGTTTGTGGTATCCGCTGAAGGGATATTGCATGAGGTCATTTTCCAAAAGCACGCATCACATAGTGTAAGGGAAAAAGGGACCACTATGGGAGATGCAGTAGCATACGCTACTAGGGGTTCACATAGAGAACCTGATCCCTCTTAGGAGGACCCAGGTCAAGAGTATCACCCCACAGTAGTGTGCCTGATTTTGATGCTGTGCCCTTGGAAATTCAAGGCCCAGAGATGCACTCTAGTGATGAAGAAGACCTTGACAATATGGCCCTTGATGCATTCATCAGTCAGCGTAAGACTGTTTTGACTCCTGAGTCTGAAATCAAGCGCCCCACCACAAGGCTACAACTCAAAATGGCCTACGACTCCGCACTCCAAAAGAGTAAGAAAAGCAGTAAGAAGAAGAAAAGAAAGCTGGTGAAAAATGGTGTACCTGTAGGGGATGAAACTATCCCTGTTGTTGAGGTGGATGAGGGAACTCCTGAGGAACCCGGTTCCTTTGTAAGGCGGTCATCAAAAAGGGCAGAGTCTGTTTCCCTAGAGAAGGGGTCTACTTCCAAGTCTAAAATCGAGAAGGCAGTGAGTGATGAGGATATTCTTGTCAGGTCCAAAGGGAAAAGTAAGGTCAGTGGAGAAAAGCATAGGAAACGTAAGTATGAAACAGCTGAAGAACCTAGTTC